AATAAATCTTAAAAAAAAAAGATAAATCTTTACAAAGACCTTATATCTATTGCTAAAATTAACTAAAAATGGACCAACTGTCTGTCAAATGTAATACACTAAAATTCCTAGAAGATAGCAAAGATATCTAAAGGACTTTGGGTTTGACAGTGACATTTTAGTTATGACATGAAAGGCATGATCCATGAAAGAAATAATTGATAAGCTGGACATCACTAAAATTAAAAATGTTTGCTTTGCAAAAACCAATGTCAAGAAAATGAAAAGAAAATCACAGGCTGGGAGAAAATATTTGCCTGAAAATATAATTGATAAAGAGCTGCTGTCCAAAATATACAAAGAACTATTAAAATCCCACAATAAGAGAATAATCAACCCAATTAAAATACGGTTCAAAGACCTTAACAGACACCTCCCTGAAGAAAACATATAGGTGGCAAACAAGCATGTGGAAAAATATTTCTCATGATATATCATCAGGGAAATGAAAATTGAAACAATAAAATACTACTCATCACCCATTAGAATGGCCAAAATCTGGAATACTAACCAAATAAATGCTGGTGAGAATAAGAATGTGGAACAATAAATCTCATTCATTGCTGGTGGAAATGCAACATGTTGCAAACAATTTGGAAGATAGCTTGGCAGTTTCTTGATCACATTAAATATATTTTCACCATATGATCCAGCAAGGGCACTCCTTGGTATTTATCCAAAGGAGTTGAAAACTTATGTACACACAAAAACCTGCACAGGGGTATTTATAGCAACTTTATTCAAAATTGCCCAAACTTGGAAGCACCAAGATGTCCTTTAGTAGGTGAATGGATAAATAAACTATTCTACTCCAGACAAACAGAATATTATTCAGAGCAAAAAAGAAATAAGCTGTTAAGACATGGAGGAGACTTATATGCATATCACTAAGTGATAGAAGCCAACATAAAAAGAGTACATGTTGTATGATTCCAACAAGATGGCATTTTGGAAAAATCAAAACTATAGAGTCATTAAAAAGATTAGTGATAGGGCACTGAAGAGTTTTAGGGCAAAGAAAAAATTCCTTATGAGACAATCATGATGGATACTTATGCAAACCCAAAAGATGCACAACACCAAAGTGAACCCTAGTGTAAACTTTGGGTGATAATGATGTGTCAATGCAGGTTCATCAGTTGTAACAGATATAGCACCCTGGTGAGGATATTGTGAGTGAGGGAGGCTACGCATGTGTAGGAACAGGGAACATATGGGAACTCTCTGAACCTTCCTCTCAATTTTACTATGAACCTAAAATTGCTCTATTTATGCAAAGTTGTAGTCATGAAGTTACAGTTCTAACCTTCTTGGCAGCACCACAAGTATAGTTGCTACTGCTACTGATAACCTTTCCTTCAGAGCCTCTGCTTCGCCCTTTGCCATAATATTAACATTCTCTGAAAACACAGTGCTTTTTTATGCCTCTGCGTTGTTTTACTTTTGCTCTCTGTACTTAGAATGCCCCCTCCTGCTACCCCTATACTCATCTCTTCTTTAAAAAACCCATTCATATTCAAACTTAGATGAAGCTTCAATACCCAGCTGAAGCTGTCTTCAGCTCACCCAGGTGATTTTGGTACCTCTTCCTTCAGGATCCCAGTGCCTCCTCCCTCAGACTGACCCTCTAGCAGTGATTTCATTGTACTGTGATTGTTTGCAGACCTGTCTCCTCTGTATTCAAAGCAATGAAATCCAGCCCCTGCTCATAGTTGCAAATAGAGTGCCTAGTAAACTTTAGGATACAGTAGGTGCTCAGCAATTCTCTAACTGAATGACTGCATTTAGGATGCTGCAACATTAATAGTAGTGCACATAACTATATACACTATTGGGGACAGAATGCTTTTTTAAGTACTAGCATGCCACCCAGCTTTTGCAGCCTCGCCCATGTTCTGCGACCTCCATGCCATTTTTTCTAACACCTGCAGGTGTCGTCTGTGTGACCACTGGTACCATCTTGGCTGGTATTGGGTTATACATTATTCTACATCATTCTTTCTTTGTTCATTTTAAACAATTCACATTAAAAACTGTCTCTCTGAGAAAAATATATAAAATAATAAGTCTTTAGTCAGACTAAGAAAAACAAAAAGTCCCAAAATTCCAATATGAATAAATGAAAAAAGAAACACTATAAATGCTACAAATATTTAAAGGCTAATCAGGAAATATTACAAACAATGTTATTCTCCAACATTGAATAATTTCAATAAAATAATTTTTAAAAGATGAAATTTTACTCTTTGTAACAACACGAATGGAACTGGAGGGGATTATGCTAAGTGAAATAAATCAAAAGAAGAAAGACAAATGCCAGATGGTTTCATTTATACATGGAAAATAAAAAAACAAAGCAACAGACAAAACTAAACCAAAACAAACCAACCCTAAAAATCTGAATACAGAGGTGAGGCTACTAGAAAGGGAGGGTAAGAAGAAGGGATCAAGGGAAGAAGGGGCCTAGTGGACTATGGTGCAGGATTATTGGGGCTTTGGTATTGGATGTAGTGAGATAACATATACTTAAATAGGCGTGAACCTGTACCCCTAAATCCCCTACAGTATTGTAAGCCAATATTACCCCAATTTAAAAAAAAATAATCACTTAGGCAAGTGCCTTGAAAACACAAACTACCACGTATGACTGAAAGAGAAATCAGGAGCATGAAGAGTTCTATAGATCACATAAATTAAACACATATTTTAAAATATTCCAACAAAGAAAACCTATACTGAGACATGTGGGGAGCACTGGGGCCCAGATGTGGTCACTGATGAATTCTACTAAACTGAAAAACAAAACCTCTACCCCTACCTATCATGACTTCCCTGGAACACCCTCTGCATAACCACTTCTGTTAGGTTCCTAACACTGTCACCCAATATCCTACTTCCACCCTTCCTACTGTTCTTCCCCTGGAACTATTTCCCTGGGTCAAATTAATGGCTGCTGTCCCTTCAAGGGTCAGTTCTAGCACCATCCACCTTAGGACCCCAGAGCCCCAAGAGCTGTGAATGGTGCCCCCTCCATATTCTGCTGATCATGGGAGCCAGCATTCTGTGCATATCACGCTGAACTGTCTTTGCTGATTTACAAGCTTGACTTGACCATAACTAGAATACGAGATATATCTTTTTAAAATTTTTATTGATGTATCATGGCATAACATTATATAAGTTTCTTTTAGGATATTTCTGTTAATGCAGAGAATTCTCAGTCTCTCTGTGGTTGCTTCCAAGTTTGTATGTGCAATCTTCATCCTACCAAGATAGTTTAATGGGTTATTGTCTTTTCAGAAAATCACCAGCCACTTTCGATCCATGTATTGCTGAAATGTTAAGAGGTTTTACAAGACAAACTCTGAAGGGTTTCCTGTGATAATTCCATCTCAGGAGTAGTCTTTCTTACTGCAAACACCTGTGTATACTTTCTCTGCAAAACCTCCCCCAACAAACGTTCCCTACACATCCCATCCCATGCTGGTGGTTTTGTAGAGAGCTGGGATTTAGGCAGCAAGAAAACATCCGAATTGAGAACTACCTAGAAAAATTTCCTCTAATAACCTTGACACTGTCACTTCCTGTGTTTACCAGCAAATTCCCCCTGCCCTTCATTGTGGCAGTCCAGGCTTCTACTCGTCCCTCCTCGTGTCCATCACATGAGGGCTTTTGCAGCACGAAAGCAAACCCATGAATAAGCCACAGTCACATGTGTTGATATGAATAGATGAGGAATCCATCCATCAGCAAGTACTTTTTAATACCTGTGTGTGTCCGTCTTATTGATCAGTGTGTAAGGTAGATAGAGAAAAGCGAGATGTATAATCTGTACATTCATGGACCTAACACACTTTATTGAGAACCTTCTGGGTCAGTCACTGCCCTTCAGAACTTCAGCAGCTGTTGAAAGGGATCTGAACAGAGGCAAACACAATAAGTACAAAGTACATCCAGTAGATAGCAGATAGCCCATCACTTGCCTGGAGTCATTCATAAGGGCGGGTTGGGACCTGAGGTTCAGGTGAGGCAAGGCTTCATGGGAGCTGTGAAGTAAAGGATTAGTTGTCACTGAGCCCAGTAAGTTAAATAAGTTTTCATGAAAAAGGAACTTTAAAAAGTATGGTCCTTGGGCCTCCCTGGTGGCGCAAAGTGTTAGGCACCACACTATGAAGTAATCCACAGCCTCTGCAGCATGAGTTCAATCCCTGGCCGGCCAGGGAGAGACCCACACAGTGCGGCAGACCTCTCTGGTCTCACCCGCTGCTCCCCTCAGCAGTGTATTTCAGTCAATCTGCCTGTTCTGTTCCCCACTCTGTCTCTGGTGAATCCTCTCACCCCCCACATCTCTGGCCTGTACCCCAGCTCTTCTATGCATAAATAAATAAATCTTAAGAAAAAATTCAGTCCTTGTTACAGCTAAGAGGAGTCTAAGGTGACTTTTGACTAAGTGTAACATGGACCCTGGGACAGAGTAAAAGTAGGTGAAAATATAAATAAACTATGGATAGACATCAGTTAACAATAACACATCCATGTTGATTCACTAATTGTGAGAAATGTACCACGAGACTGTAAAACATTAGTAATAGGAAACTGGGTTTGGCTTTAGGGGAACTCTCTGCACTATCTTCTCAGTGTTTCTGTGAGTCTACACCAGGCCTAAAAATGACAGCCTATCTAAAAAGAAAAAAAAAATTGGTCTCACCACATGGCATGGTGACAGGAAGAAGTCAGCTTGACAATGACCCTTTTCTGAAAGAAGTGACTTTGTTGTTCGATGCCATGTTTGTGGCTTGATCACCGATTCCTAGGGCGAAACTGAGTTCTCACTTGCTTTTCTGTGGTTGATTTTTGGCAGGCAGCAGCAGCATTTGTGCACTGATTATAATTTTGAGATGCATTGTCAGTAACCAGGGTGTATAATGGATCTTCATCTCTAATTACTTTTCTCTCCACAGGTGCCTGGAAAGGGTCCAGACGGGAACGCACACACCCTCCGCTTTGAGGGGATGGAGAGGCAGTACGCGTCCTTACCCAGGTACATCACTGAGTGGTCTCCCACCTTAGCGCGCCTGCAAATGAAGTCTTTAGAGAAATCTACATGAAATAGAAATCTGGCTTTGAGATAGGGAATATGTTATAATTTTGCCTCACTGCCATCTGTTGCAACCCTAGTGCCATCTTCACAACTGTGCTAATAATTGAAACACTTGTGGGTGATTTTTTTTTAGGGGAAGAAAATAGTATATCATTGCAATTGAACATGTCAGCAAGAATATTGGATACTGAATGGAAATCCTAAGCCATTGCTATAAAAATGGTATTGAACATCTTACACCAAGCTTAGAGACAATAAAATAGTAAATCCTCTGTCCTAGGAGTTACCCACGAGAAAGGGGAGCCAACCTTAACCTTGGAACTTCATGTGGGTGTTAAAAAGCAGAAGAGAAATGTGAACCTGGGAAGGTGTTCTTTGCTTGATTTAGAATCTGGCCATGTGCTCTGGGCAACAAACATATTGCTGAGAGGTACAGACACAGTGGAGGAGAAAAAGACTTGTGTGGGAAAAGTTCACTTGGCAACTCTGGCCTAACATGATCCACTTATGTTGTAACTAGACACCCCTGAACATGAGATACAATTCTCAAAGGTTTGTGCTCTTATCTGTGAGATGAAGAATAATTTTTGTCTATCAGTAGCGCATGACAAAGAGGAAACCTTTCCAAGATTACATACAGTGCAGTTACTCTGGGAATTAAATGAGTTGAGATGAGCTGAGGGTGTGAGAATTAGTGCGTTCAAAACAAAGCAAAACAAAGAAAGGTTAATGCCAGCCAGAAAACTGAAATGTTACGGAATGTCTTCTTCTAAAAAGTTAAAAAGTGTGGGAAGGATCCTAAGTGAAGCTGAGTTGTTTATCATCAAAGCTGAGTTGTTGTGGTGCTAACTCTGAGCTGGAGGTATTGACTTGCCTGCTTCTATACATCTGCATGTGAATTTACAAAAACAACGTCCTGAATTTTACAACAGGCGTAGCCTAAGTGACCATCTGCTCTTCTAAATAGTATATTGATTTTCAAAAGTCATAAAATCTCCAATGTGGAAAAGAACCAGTTTTTAACACTGATTGGGCAGGATACACAGAACACAGTATTGCAAAAACTTCTAGACAACTGTATTTTATTTAGCTCCCTGTTTTCTTTTTTTATATGTTTTCTCATAGTTTTTTCTCATCCTTGATTTCTTTCCTCTCCCTGTTTTTCCCTGGCTTCGTATTTTGTTTTCATTTTGAAAAATGGAAGTCGTCTCCAAAATTTGTTTTAAATATAAAATTTCTGGCTTTCAGTGTTGAAGAGTATGGGAATTGTGGTTAAGGCAGATGGAAAGTAGTATGGTCTTACGAAAGGGGGAAGAAAGGAAACTGGAAATAGTTGAACGTCATCCCGGCCAACTTGTAGTCAGGCTGCGGAAATGGAGTTTTTTATACAAATCAAAAAAATCAAAAGCATGGAAATAACATTTAAGATCCTATAAACTTCACTCATTCATTTATTCCCCATATATCTATTGATCATCTGTTGTGTATCAGGCCCTGAGAATATGGGACTATGGTGTTCGAAGACACATCCTCAGTGTCAATCCATCTTCAGAAATCTACTGCCTCGTCAATGGGCAGCAAATCCACTTTTTATGACAGTACAATGAGTGCTGAGATTAGTAATTTTTAGCATCATGTCCTCTGACTTTCCAACCCCTATTTATTTTTCTAATAAGCCCTGAAAAGCTCAACCGTGGCTGGTTCGAACCACACCCGTCTCCCCACGTCCACGGTGAGCTCTGGGGAGGGGGTTTCTGATAAAGGCAATAGTTTATGCTTTTGTGGCTCTGAGGCCATCATCACAATGTACACACTAACAAAATCTTGCCAGGCCCGAAAATATAGCTGTAGCTGAAAGGGAAGCATCTCAGACTGAACCCAGTTTTGACACAGTCCACTCACACACACACACAATAGGCGTGATTAGCTGCACGTGCAAACAGACCTCCGCGGCTACCTGGCAACCAGAAGTAGCCACGATGGAGAGTAAACAGGACTCAGACAAATGCATGAGACACCCCTGGCACTGCATTTGAAATGGAGCACCTGAAACACGAGTGCCCATCTCAATATCTAAAAGGGAGATGCAAAGCACCCCCATTAGCAGGCTCCAGTCCGTGGGAGGAGGGGGTCCATATTTACCCAACAAGATGCAGAATGCAGAAGCAAGGACACACTGCTGACTTCTGAGAGAGAATGCAGATTGGACTCTGTGTGCCCATGACATTTATCCCGGTTCCCTAGTCTTCCCCACGCTGGAGATTTCACTGTCCACTTAATTGAATCCATAGCTCGGCTGCTCCCTCCCTTTGCTGAAAGTAAGGAGAGCACATCCCTCTGGGCACCCAAATGCCTCTTCGTCACAGAGGCAGGAGAGCTTTAAAATATTTATAAAGTTTTTCATTAAAAATAGGAATAGGGCCTCTCCGGTGGCGCAGCGGGTTGAGCACAGTGCTGTGAAGCTGTCCACTGTCTCTGCAGCAGGGGTTCGATTCCTGGCCAGACAGGGAGATACCTGCATGGCGCGGCAGACCTCTCCTGTTTCGCCCGCTGCTCCCCTCAGCAGTGTATTTCAGTCAGTCTGCCTGTTCTGTTCCCTGCTCTGTCTCTGGTGAATTGTCTCACCTTCCCACGCCTCTGGCCTATACCCCAGTTCTTGTATAAAATAAATAAATCTTTAAAAAAAATAGGAATAATTGTATCTATAGGAAGTTGGTGGCCAGCCATATGGGGACTTAATGTGCAACTGACACTTTGTTTCCTATGTTGTTTGTGAGAGCATCACAAGAGTTTTTAAGATAAATTCAACAATGTTGATTTATATCCCAAATTTAGAGCCACTAACCTGGGGAGAAAATGCCCCCAGGGCTTGGAGTTGCTGAGGAACCCCGGTCAAAGGGCACCCTGCTAGGCTTTCCTGGAACTCTGTCATCTTAAAGTAGGCCCATGCAGTTTGCTGCCAGACTAAATGACACTTCACAAAATAAAACAGGAGCCCTAGCCAGCTCGGGAGAGACAGTTCCTAGCACTTGGTAGTTATGAGGTTGCCTAAGGCTAGGGGCTAAGCGATGTTAAGTGTTATTGTTAAGCAATGTTAAATCTTTTGCCTTGGAAGAAAAATAACTTTATTTCTTTTCTCCTGAGGGTGCTGTTTTGGAAAGCAGAGCATGGTAGTAATACAACCTCGTTAGCAAACACCAGGCTTTTACCAAAGCTGATGTTTTACCAACTTGTCCAGCCCCCAATTTTCTTTGGTAGTAAACAGAATGAAATCAGCTTCGCCTTCTTCTGGCCTGACATAAATTATTACTCAGCCTGGGTGAGGAGGGAAGTGGCTGTTTACTAGGCTGCTGTAATGTGTGAACATCAATGTATGTATTTTTGCAAACAGCATCTTTTTTCCTCCAGTCTCTCAGCCCCTTTCAATTCTCCCTGGCCCCATCCCAGTGTCACAGGCCTCCTGATTGTCAGTCCCTTCATGAAGTCTCCGCTTTTCTATCTCAGGCCCCAATCAGTCCCACCCGGCCCATCTCTGCCCCCCATGGGATCCCATTATCCCTCCTCTGCAGATGGCTCAGCATATCAGCATATGATGTTGCTCTTCCGGGATTGTAATCAAGTGTTGAGACCTAAGGAGTGAGCAAAAAGGTTCCCCATCTTTTCTGTGGTCCTGGGGACATGGGTGGTGAAAGGTTGCTGGAGAGACTCATAAAATTGCATTCATTGGTTCTACTACAAAATTCACATTACCCAGTCCCCACTGGGCCTCTGCTGCTGTCCAGAGTTCCTTTTAGTCATGCCGTGGACTCCCTCGACTATCCCACGGTGGCCATTCCAGCCCTTTTCTACTCCCGTTAAGGTCTGCAAAGATGACTAAGGCCCTTGAGCCCAATCTCCGGAGATGACCTCACTTCCTCTCCTTTACAACCTGGAACATTCAACATTAGCTTCTCAACTTCTGCTCCCTACAGCTCAGACTCTGTCTTCACTAGTACCAGCTTCTCAAGGGTAGATGATAAGGGAACAGACTTGGAGTTAGGCCATAATTATAGCCCCATTTCTGTCACTTATCACCTTTGTGACCTTAGGCAAGTGACCTAATTGTTCCAAGCCCAGTTTTCTAATCTGTGAATTGGGGATAATATCAGGGCTTCTGAATAATGCTTGTATGATCACTAAAGACAATAACACCAGCAAAATCCTTAGTGAAGAGCCTGCCAGACATACTTTAAAGGTTTTTCTTAATGTTGTTAGGTCTTTTTAAATTTACCTCTGGGGAAGTTATGTTCCTTTCTTTAATCAATCAAACCCATACAACAGAACTTAGTGTCACTGGCTTCTCATGATCCATGCACCATCAACTAGCCCTTTCTCGGCAGTATTTTTAACCCCTGGGCAGTAACTCCCCCTGCCTGCTATTCTGCTCAGCTACACAGTTCTCTAGGAGTCCTGCAGTGTCTTAGAGATAAGCTGAGGGTACAACTGAGAATTAACCAACTCTGCAGAATGACCAGAGAAAGGTAAAGGGCAAAAGGACATCACATACCAATATGATGTGAGTGAAAAGCCGTTCTGAAGGACATGCTGGGAGACAGCAAGTCTTTTTTTTTTTTAAAGATTTATTTATTTATGCATACAAGAGGTGGGGTGCAGGCCATAGGTGTGGGGTATGAGAGGATTGACCAGAGACAGAGTAGGGAGCAGAACAAGCGAATTGATTGAAATACACTATTCAGTGGAACAGCGGGCTAGTCAGGAGAGGTCTGCTGTGCCATGTGGGTAGCTCCCTGGCTGGGAATCGAACTCGGCTGCAGTAGTTGCAGATAGCTTCATAGTGCTGACGCTTAACCCCCTGTGCCACCAGGGAGGCCCCATAACAGGGAGTCTTACAGAAGGGGGTACATATAAAGGAGATGGGATGACTCGGGTCTAGAGAAGAG